GGGTTTCGGGAATTCGGTACCACATGTAGATGTAAATATATATGTGTATATATATATATGTATATATATATAGATATATAGACATATATATATACATATATATATATATATACGTGTTGGCGCACATCACCCCCCCCCCCCCCCATATGACCGTTTCAGGGAACATACAGGAGCCTAATTCCACAGTTCCCTACCACGAACCGCTAAGTCTGCTTTAGGAGTTGTGACTTACATCAACAGCGGCCAAAAGCGTAGAATTTTGCTAACAGTCCAAATAAGCGCGTCTGCTCCACTAGAAGCAGCGAATGCCTCAGTCTCTTTGCTGTAGCACAACACGAGTGCAGGAAAGCAAGTAGGGAATTAAGGGCCTTATATGCCCCTACACAACCCTTTTAAGAACACAACATGGGGGGGGGGGGGGGGGGGGCACCTTACTGGGGTCCTTACTACAAGGGAATCCCACTAATTATGTGGAGGTCTATATGAAAGGTCCCCTATTTCGGTAAAGCCTCACTTGAATTCCTCAGCTCGGAAGTTGTACACCCGGCGATACCCCGCCTGTGCATCCTTGAAGACGCAAACTGCCTTCTCATCCGATATCCAATCAACGCCTTCATCGACCGTGGGCTGCTTGAAAATTCGGGTTTAGGGTTTAGGGTTTAGGGTTTAGGGTTTAGGATTTAGGGTTTAGGGTTTAGGGTTTAGGGTTTAGGGTTTAGGGTTTAGGGTTCAAGGTTTAGGGTTTAGGGTTTAGGGTTTAGGGTTTAGGGTTTAGGGTTTAGGGTTTAGGGTTTAGGGTTTAGGGCTTATGTAGCACTTAGGGTTTAAGGTTTAGTTTTGCGGGTTGCAAGCTGGAACCCTATTTCAGGAACTGCCCATCTCACCGGAAAGCACGACATCGGGGCAGCAGCTGACCCTAAACCCTTAGCCCTAAACCCTAAGCCCTAAACCCTAAACCCTAAACCCTAAACCCTAAACCCTCAAGCCAATGTGTAAACTTGAACTTATTCCTTCCTTTTCTTGGAAGGCCACTTTTGCTGTGGTGCAAAGTTGCCGGCTTCTGTTTGTTGAGTTGTCGTCAGTTGCTTTGTGACTGCGTAGGCGAGGAGGTTTAAGTAAATCGAACAAAGAAGACTTTTGGCCGTTGTGCCTGCGCAGGGCAAGGAGGTTTAAGAAAATTGAACATTTCAGCACTTTGGAGCTGTTTGAAGCTTCTCAAGTCCTTTTCAAAGCCACGCGGTGCCTTTTGGGCTCTTTGCTGGCGGGCCTTGTGAAACCAATTTGGGCCTTCTGAGGCCAATTAATTTTGGCCTTCTGAAGCCAATTTTGACTTTCTGAAGCCAATTTTGGCCTTCTGAAGCCAAGTTTAGGCCTTCTGAAGTCAATTTGGAATTTTTGGCCTTCTGAAGCCAATTTTGTGCCTTCCAAAGCCAATTTGGGCCTGAAGCCAATTTTGGCCTTCTGAAGCCAATTTTGGGCCTTCCGAAGGCAATTTGGCCTAAGCCACTTTTGGGCCTTCTGAAGCCAGTTTGGGCCTCTGAAGGCATTTTTGGCCTTATTTTGGGCCTTCTGAAGCCAATTTGGGCATCTGAAGACAATTTTCGCCTTCTGAAGCAAATTTTGAGCCTTCTGAAGCCCATGGGCCTTCTGAAGACAATTTGGCCTTCTGAAGCCACTTTTGTGCCTTCTGAAGCCAATGCCTTCTGAAGCCAATTTGGAAGCCAATTTTGAGCCTTCTGAAGCCAATTTGGGCCTCTGAAGCCTCATTTTGGCCTTCTGACGCGATTTGGGCCTTCTGAATCGGAAGCCGAGTTTGGGCCAATGTGGGCATCTGAAACCAATTTTGGCCTTCTGAAGCCAATTTTGGGCCTTCTGATGCCAGTTCGGGCCTCTGATTCGAAAAATCCAAAAAGCGAAACTCCTCGAAACTCCTCGAAACTTTCCCCGGACCTGAACCCTTAATGAGTTCAATAAACCCTAAACCCTCCACATGGTACAAGCTTCTTGGCCTAAGAGGCGAGCAGGTGGCATCTTCGAGGCCGGAGCCAAAGACTCGCGCTGCTGGGAATTGAACCCTTCATCAGGGTTTCAGGGTCTTTGGCGGGACCGAGATGGACATGAACCCTAAACCCCCAAACCCTAAACCTCCCCTCAAAAAACCAAACTCAACCAACACCCGAGGTTATAAAGTGCAGTTCTGAGTGGTGAATAAGTGCCAGGAACCTCCAAGTAGAGATTTTGTTATTGAGTTTGTGGCTTAGGGCTTCACTCCAGGCGTCCGCACGCTCGAATCTCGGGAGGTTTTTGGACTCCAGGACCTGCACCAAGGATCCCTAAACCCTAAACCCTAAACCCTAAACCCTAAACCCTAAACCCTAAACCCTAAACCCTAAACCCTAAACCCTAAACCCTAAACCCCAGCAGCTTTGGAGATTGGAGCTTCAGGGTATCAGGGTTCAGAAGTTAAATCCCCTCGGCTTCCAGCCGAGAGGCTTTAGGGTTTAGGGCTTAGCGGTTACGCCAAAGCACGAAAACAGCGCCACAACAACGCCCAAAACCTTTTCTGGGACCCCCCCCCCTAAACCCTAAACCCTAAACGTGCCCTGCCTCTGCTTGGAGGTTCTTCTTACTTACTAACCAATTGTAACTGCACTTCTAACCCACTTATAAGCCCCTTAGGTGCCCCAACATAGTACAGTTATAGGTGCAGCTAGAACTGTACTCATAAGCCCCTAAAGTGCCCTAGTATATGGTTATAAGTACGGTTCTTTGGTACAGGCACAAGCCCCTTTAGGTGCCCCAATAGAAGTACAGCTCTAAGTGTACCCTGAACCTCCAAGTCTGGGAGCCCAAAGCTCAGAACCCTCGGGCTGGGAGGAAACCCTGTCAGGAGTCGTGGATCCTAAGCCCTAAACCCTAAACCCTACCCTGAACCCTAAACACTAAACCCTAAACCCTAAACCCTAAACTGCAAATTCGGGTACCCTACAAAATCTGTCTATTTCCACTAGGAGCCCACAGCGGCAAGCCTCGGCGATGTGGGTCCGGGTCAGCCGCTGTACCCCTGCCACATGCCACACAGGCCCCAGGCTTTGCAGGCTCCAAAGGTAGGGGCGGGTTGGGGGTTTAGGGTTGAGGGTTGATGGTTGAGGGCTTAGGGTTTAATCTCCTACCCAACATGCACGACTCTAACCCGTTTTCCACAGAGTGTCCCTGGAGTGCCTTCGAAGCAAAACCCATAAACCCCAAACCCGAAGCCCCACCTCCTTTTCCTGGCACTTCTCTCGCGCCGACCGGGTTTGAGTCACTTGAAGTCACTTGATGCTTTCGCGGTTTAGCGGTTCTGGGGTTTAGGGGTTGAGGGCTTAGGGTGTATGGGGTTTAGGGTTTAGGGTTTAGGGTTTTAGGGTTCAGGGTTTAGGGTTTGGGGGTTTAGCTTCGCAACTGGGTCCTTGGCTGATTTTCAGCCTCGGCCCGTGTTCCCGTGAGAGCCAAAGGGTGGATTCTTGCCAACAGCATGATCCGATCATGAGTTCTTATCGGATCGTTTAGAGGGTTTGCACAGGATTTTCATAGGGTTGTCTATAGGGTTCGAGGGTTTGCAAGGTTTTGAGGGATTAGAGAAATTTTAGGTTTAGTGTTCGGGTTTGAGGGTTCTTTGGACTAGGGTGGTGGTGTGGCTCTGGGTGAGGAGTCCACTGTAGGGAGCCAGTCTCATGAGCTGCGCGCGAGTTGCAAGTGTTGCCTGATGTTTTTGGCTGATTTTCCCCTTCTCCCCCTTCTGTCCAGAAGAGCGCCGTGCAACCTAAACCCTAAGCCCTTAACCCTAAACCCTAACCCTAAACCCTAAACCCTAAACCCTAAACCTTCAACCCTAAACCCTAAACCCTAAACCCTATCAACCCTATAAACCCTATAAACCCTATAAACCCTAAACCCTACAAACCCTAAACCCAAAAATCTCAAATCCTATAAACCCCAAAAGGGATCGCAGTTTAGGCTAGGCTTCAGAGCATCAAGGGTTCAGGCTCTTGACCCTCGACGGCGTTTCCACCCTCTGGGCCTCCTCAAATTCCTAAACTTTACCTGGGTTGCAGCTTCGGAACGTAGATTGGGTTTGAGGTTTAGGGCTTGGGGTTTGGGGTTTAGGGTTTGGGGTTTAGGGCTTGGGATTTAGGGTTGTTGAGGGCTTAAATCATGTTGTTTGCACTCCATCCATGTTATGGCGGCTTAGTTTACCTTCCGAAGCAGCAACCCGTGACGTTGCTAGCGTCTTGCCAGCTTCTTGGCATAAGGTCCCAACATCAGAGACACCTAAACCCGAAACCCTAAACCCTAAACCCTAAACCCTAAACCCCTCATCCTTGAAACAAACAACCTTCAACTCAAGACCGTCTTCCTCGCAGGGGGCTCTGAAGTCGCTCCAAGCTTCGTTTAGGGTTTAGGGTTTAGGGTTTAGGGTTTAGGGTTTAGGGTTTAGGGTTTCGGGTTTAGGGTTTAGGTTCACGGCTTCCATGCAGCCCCTAACTTGTAACCCTGTCATCTAATTCCTGGTTCAATTTCTTCATCCTCAAAGTCATCGCAGTTGTTACCGTGGTCACGAGCAGCCTCCACATTCTTTGTAGAACTTGAGTTTAGGGTTTAGAGTTTAGGGTTTAGGGTTTAGGGTTTAGGGTTTAGGCTTGAGGGTTGCAGCCCTAAACCCTGAACCCCATGCCGTGAGCCAACTTTGAGTATTGTAGAGGGGGGAGATGCAGAGAACTGGGACCTCTTCGCTGGAAATCGCTCGTGAAACGCGACTACGTCAGCTCCTAGTCGACCACCGGCGACTTCTGAGGAGTCGAACCCCCATCTCCCAAACCCAAAACCCTAAACCCTGCACCCCAAACCGTGAACCCTAAACCCTAAACCCTAAACCCTAAACCCTAAACCCTAAACCCTAAACCCTAAACCCTAAACTCCTAAACTCCAAAAAAAAGCCAAGCCGTCAGGCCCACCCATCAGGCCATCTTCATGCGAGCTTGTGCAACCTGTCGCTGGAGCTCCACCTGCTACTGGCTGCCGCTCAGGAACGTATATGAAGGTTTAGGGTTTCGGGTTTAGGGTTTAGGGTTTAGGGTTTAGGGTTTGGGGTTTAGGGTTTAGGGTTTAGGGTGTAGGGTGTAGGGTATATGAAGTTGCCATCAGATGGTACATGATCTGACTTCCGTCTTATGGCCTGAACCCTGAACCCTAAGCCCTAAACCCCTACACCCTGCGTAACTGAAGCTCCTTAAGAAGAACAACTCTCAGCGAGATGATTCTTTGATTGTTCGCCTGACACTTTTGCGCTTAGAGTTTAGGGCTTTGGGTTTAGGGTTTAGGGCTTAGGGTTTAGGGTTTAGGGTTTAGGGTTTAGGGTTTAGGGTTTAGGGTTTGGGGTTTAGGGTGAGCCATTCCAAGATGCATGTCTTGGCTCGGGTGCCCAATTGGATATACGGCTTCCGGGTGTTCATACTGGCCTTTGATCGCAGAAGAGATTGGAGGAACCATGTCCAACTTGAGGCAGCATATATGTCGCCGAAGCCCTAAACCCCAAACCCTAAACCCTAAACCCTAAACCTCCCTAAACCCTAAACAGCCCACGAGCACAGACTCTGCTGTGGCCTTCTGGAAGATGCGCTCACGATCTTCCGCTCTGCTGTGCATTTCCTGCGTTCTCGCCTTGGCAAGTCCGGTTGAGGGTTTAGGGTTTCGGGTTTAGGGTTTAGGGTTTAGGGCTTAGGGTTTAGGGTCTAGGGTTTAGGGTTTAGGGTTTAGGGCTGAAGCCTCCCCCGCAAGAATCAGTGACCTAGTTGCGTCAGCTTCCCGCGTGATCAGCCGTTCCCTCGTCAGTCCTGAACAGAGACATGCTGAGCAGCAGACTTTGACTTGCGATTAACAAACATCATTCACTGCCCGGGAAAGTCCGAGGGGCGCAGGGCTTTCATAGTTTTACTCCTTGGCACCTGCGACTGCGCTTGCTGTTTCTGAACCAACCCCACTGGGCCCGGAATCCCGACAACCCCAAGCTCTCGACCCCTAAGCTCTACACCCAATAGGGTTTTAGGGTCTAGGGTGCAGGGTTAAGGGTTCAGGGGTCTCCTCGACCACAATCACAGAAGCGGCTCTGTATCCGGTCCACCTGCAGTTCGCAAAAGTCTTTGGTCAAATCGCGCGGCACGACAAAACTCACACTTCTCCAAGGACCAAGGGAGAAATGCGCTAAAGGTGCCCCTTGTTCAGGGTTAAGGGTCCAGGGTTTAGGGTTTAGGATTTCAGGGTTTAGGGGGTTCCTATGTAGCAACTTGCGGGAACAAGGGTATGCCCAATGTCGGACATGTCCATCTACATGATAGGGTCCCTCGTCGGGTTCCCAATAGAATACAGAGCGTCATCTTTAGGGCACTTACCCCAGGCGATTTGGAGAACAAGCCGCACAGCTAAAGCGTGAAAGGGACGAGTCCTGGACTGGCCTTAGACCCTAAACCCTAAACCCTAAACCCTAAACCCTAAACCCTAAAACCCCTGAACCCGGCTCCCCAGCAAACCAGGCCTGCTCGATGAGCCGATGCACCCGATCCACCAAACGTGAAGCCCGGAGACATTGCCTTTGAAGCGTGCGGCCTTTAAGACCCTGAACCTTGCAGCCTACACCCTGAACCCCACCCTAGCACCCCAACACCATAACACCCCAACACCCTAACACCCAAAACCCACAGCTCTTACAACTTGCCATAGATGCTGCCAGAATGTCACAGACAGATTTTGCATTGCAGCCTAGCAACTTCTGCACAATGCAGATCAAGTAACCTCAGTGGCATTCCCTGGCCCGTCTGAGAGTAAGGCCAACCCCTCAACCCTTTTGAACCTTAAGAGGGTTTAGGGTTTAGGGTCTAGGGTTTCGGATGTAAGGTTTATCAACTGTCACAAAGATGTCGAAGGCTACACATGCATGCGACGCTTCCTCCTGCACCCTGGCACCAAGCCGGTAGCGGAAAAGAGACTTGCTGTTATCCTGGAGGCGGCGAACATGCAAAGAGCACTGCGTCTCACAAAAAGGCGGAAGATGCGCTCGGACATCCAGCGCAGGAGGCAACTCCCAAGCTACGAGCTTTTGCGGCTGCGCCGCCGCGCGACCGCAAAGATGAAATATCTCGTGCAGAGCCACAAGATGGACACCCTAGCAACACTCTCACTGTCTCTCACCCACAGAACCCGAAACCCTAAACCCTACAAGAGGTCACCTGAACAGCAAAGAGAGGAAAGGCGACACATCAACCCAACCCAATTCCCACAAAACTTTCCTCGCAACCCTACTTGGAGGATCATGGGTACTTAGACGTAGGGTGATAACTAGGGGAACTATGGGTATAACCCTAATTGGGGACTTCGAGCCCTACTTACAAGTACCCATGAGTCTTCAAGTAGCCCTAAACCCCAAACCCTAAACCCTAAACCCTAAACCCCAAACCCTAAACCCTAAGTATGGGTTGCAGACTCACCTCAAGGAGGAATTTTCTGTGGCCAAGAAGCACATGTCGTGGCTTTTCGCCTTGCCCTTGGCCTTGCCAAGGGCCGTCACGAGCTGGTACGGGGTGACCTGTCGATCCGACATGCGGCTTAGGGTTTAGGGTTTAGGGTTTAGGGTCTAGGGTTTAGGGTTGAGGGTTGAGGGTTTAGGGTTTAGGGTTTAGAGCTTAGGGTTTAGGGTTGATTGGGGTTTAGGGTGATTAGGGTTTAGGGTTGAGGGTTCCCTTGCCAAAAGCCAGAACCCGGTGATCTGCGACCATGCTCAAGCGTTGCCTCTCCAACCTTTTCCCCGTCCATGAGATAGAAGAAGGCTTCCGCTTCCTGCGATGGCACATGGCGGTTTGCGAAATTAGGGGTACCTTATTGGGGTCCCTTTCTGAGGGGGAATCCTACTATTTGGGGTCTATATTCGGGGTCCGTTATTTTCGTAAACTCCCACATAGGGATACATGTTGGTCAAAGATAGCACCCTCGGGAAGACCAGCGTTGAGGGCTCAAGCGCCTGAAGGCTTAAGCTTCTAAACCCTAAGCCCAAAGTTCCGAAACCCTAAACTCTAAACCCCCCTCTACCCCTTACTAAACCCCTCAAGCCCTAAACCCCTAAACCCTAAACCCTAAACACTAAACCCCTGAGCCCCTAAGCCCCTAAACCCCGGGCTCCAAACCACGGCAATCACAATAGCTCAGAGCATTAGGGGGGGGGGGGGGGGGGGGGTGCTAAGAAGGGCCTGGCTCCTACCCGGATCTTGTTTGCTGAGACGGCAACTTCGTCGGGTTTTTAGGGTTTAGGGTTTTTAGGGTTTGGGGTTTAGGGTTTTGGGTTGGGTTTAGGGTTTTGGGTTGGTTTAGGGTTTAGGGTTTAGGGTTTAGGGTTTAGGGTTTAGGGTTTAGGGTTTAGGGTTTAGGGTTTAGGGTTTAGGGTTTAGGGTTTAGGGTTTAGGGTTTAGGGCAGGGTTTGGGGTTTGGGGTTGAAGGGTTTAAGGGGCTTGGGGCTCTGCAGGTTCGAGGGCTTGGACCTTCTCAAGCAGGATGGGGGCTGCTGAGCGGCCTTTTGCTAAAGCTCAACAGGAATAGAACTCTTTGTCAAACTTCGAGCCTTCAAATCTTCCAAAGTCAAGCCCTCTCCCAACCCTAAACCCTAAACCCTAAACCCTATTGCACGAGAGCAAGTGTCTTCCGGAGATAGGCCCATGAGGCTCAGCTTCTCTTTGACTTCGGAGACGTTCAGCAGCCTTCGATAGGCCTCATGGGACCCAGGCCCCTAGGGTTTAGGGTTTAGGGTTTAGGGTTTAGGGTTTAGGGTTTAGGGTTTAGGGTTTAGGGTTTAGGGTTTAGGGTTTAGGGTTTAGGGTTTAGGGACTCAGGAGTTTAAGCATCCACCCTACGCGACCAGATGGCTTCGCAGGGCTATGCCGCAAATGCGCAGCACCACCGGGAACCCCTGCAAAAACACAAGCCTTTCACAGCAGCTCGATACCTCCAGGCCTCAAAACCCTGAGTGATAAAACCCTAAACCCTAAACCCTCAAACCTAAACTGTAGCTGTATCGACCTCGAAGTCTATCTTCCCATCGCGGTTCATGTGGTAGCGGAAGTCGGCGAGGATGGACTGCCTTGGGCATGGGATGCAGGCGAAAGAGATCGGCAAACAGCTGCTTGCCGGAAAACAGGTTCTATCCTTAGAGCTCAGGGTTTAGGGTTTAGGGTTTACGGCTTAGGGTTTAGGGTTTAGGGCTTAGGGTTGAGGACTTTCTCAAAGTGGGAATCGAAGCCCTGACCAAGAATCGAACGCCCAACCGCGCCCGGAAGCAAGCGAAAGGAAACGAATCCAGGAACGGCACAGGCTCAAGCAGGGCTGAAGGTTTAGGGTTTAGGGTTTAGGGTTTAGGGTCTAGGGTTTAGGGTTTAGGGTTTAGGGGTTAGGGTTTAGGGTTTAGAGTTTAGGGTTTAGGGTTTAGGGTTTAGGGTTTAGGGTTTAGGGTTTAGGGTTTAGGGTTTAGGGTTTAGGGTTTCTGGCCGAGGGTTTAGGGCTTAGGGCTTAGGGCTTAGGGCTTAGGGCTTAGGGCTTAGGGCTTAGGGCTTAGGGCTTAGGGCTTAGGGCTTAGGGCTTAGGGCTTAGGGTTTAGGGTTTAGTTCACCTAGTCGTTCCTAGTTGGGAATGAGGGAAGCCGGTACCCTGAGCTATAGAATCCCGCCAGGGTATGTAGGGGACATGACATCATGTGCCTCATTCCCTCATTCCGTAGGTTAAGGACCCAGGGCCCAGGGTTCAGCAGTTGGCTTCTCTTCTAGCAGCCAACAAAGCGATATGTCCGAGATGTACGGCTAGCCTCTCTCTTGCGCGCCACGGAGCAAAAGCATTTCGTAAGCTTTGGCTGCAGCCTTCTCCTGCGGGGGAAAAAAGAAGCGCACGCAAGACCCGGATGCTGAGTCGGCAGCTGGCCTGGTTA